GGACCTAAACATGCCTAATATTTGGTAGGTGAATAAAAAATGATGACTGAAAGGAGCATGCATAATTTTCAGGGAGTATTCTGCCCTCTTGCAGTATATTTTAATAGCTGATCAAGGAGAACTCTTTGTTGGAGTCCTTAAAAATGTGTGACCTTTGGGGTTTGTGATTATAATCTAATCTACTTTATAAAGTTGAGGCATGTATGAAGTTTTCTTGTCTTTGATTTTGTATAAAACATAATAGTTAACTACTTGAATGAACACTTTATTTGCTTTTGACAGTTATCTTCATATTAACATATTCAGATATTCTGGATAAGAATAAATGATACAAAATTTCTACATATTTGCCAAGTTTTGTTCTTTTTTGTTGTAGATTTTTAAAAATTTAGTAAATGAAATGGAACACTGCAGATCATTAAGCTGTAGTTTCCTTTGTTCCCCTACTCAATGTTAACTTTCTTCCCTCTTCCCCACCCCACCCCATCCTGAATTCGGTCTATAGCTTTTTAGTTCATTTTTCTCACTTTTACTACATGTACATGTTATACATATATAAAACTAGATTAAGTAAATGTTTAACAGTGCATACAGATGCTTTTTTCCATGTATGTCATTTTGCATCTCGGCTTTCTTTTCATCTGATACTGTTTTGATTCACAAATAGACTCACACTTGTAGTGTCCCCCAGTATAAGAAAAAAGGTGATATTCTAGAACAGTGGAGAAAGAATGTTTTTTTCAATAGTATGTCAATTGGGTATCCATTTGAGAAAAAAATCTACCTCCACTTCTAGCTCATAGAACAGACTCAATTTCAGGTTTAAATATAAGTGGTAAAATACTAAAACTTTTAGAAGAAATTTTCATGATCTTTGAGGGCACAAAAAGTACTAACCATGGAAGAAAAAATATATTAAGATAAATTCACTTTATCAAAAGATACCACTAAAATAGTAAAAGAGGTCACAAAGTGGGAAAAGACATTTGCAGTACATATATCTAACAAGGGACTCTTCCAGAATATATTACTAATTTTTCAAATCAATAAAAAAAGGTAACTCAATTTTTTAAAAAGTAGGCAGATGACTTAACAGGCACTTCACACAAGAGCACTTTTGCTCCTCAGTGTATACCAACAGAAATGTGTATTTAGGTTTTTCATAAAGACATGCCATAATTTCCTAGTTGTACTAGTCATACTAGAAAGAAACTAGAAACAACCCAAATGCTTATCAACAAAAAAATAAACTGCAGTACATATTCTATCTCTGTTCCTTTGTCCATCTCTCTCTCTCCCTCTCTTGCTGTTTTTTACACTCACATGCTATATGGCAATGGAAATGAATGATCTACACTTAAATATGCAACAGTATGAATCTCAACCCTGTAATATTGAATGGAAGAAGCCATAAGCCAAAGAGAACATATTCTGTAATTCCATTTATGTAAAGTTCAAAATCAGGAAAAACTGATCAGTTGGAGAGGGATAATGACTGGAGGGGCATAAATTAGTAAGTTTCTGTTTCTTGATAAAAATGCTAATTACACAAGGACATTCATCTTGTGAAAATTCATCAAGCTGTACATTTATGATTTATGTTCTTTTATGTATGCATGCATGAATTGTATGTTATATTCAAAAAATACTGTTTTGAAATCTATCCATGTTGGATCTTAGAAGTTGAGTTTATTCATTTCAACTCTGATTTATAAAGAGACCACAGTTTATTTATTGATTCCCTTATTGGACTTCTAGGTTGTTTCCTGTTTTCCTGTTTCAAATAATGCTGTAGACAGTATTCTTTTACATGGTTTCTTGTAAACATATGTGAGAGTTTCTTTAAGATGTATAACTAGAGGGGCGCCTGGGTGGCTCAGTTGGTTAAGCGACTGCCTTCGGCTCAGGTCATGATCCTGGAGTCCCTGGATCGAGTCCCGCATCGGGCTCCCTGCTCTGCAGGGAGTCTGCTTCTCCCTCTGACCCTTCCCCCTCTCATGTGCTCTCTCTCATTCTCTCTCTCTCAAATAAATAAATAAAATCTTTAAAAAAAAAAAAAAAAGATGTATAACTAGAGATGGCATTACTGGGTCCTAGTGTATGCTAATCTTCAGCTTATCAGATATTATCAAATTGTTTTCTAAAATGATTTTATGTAAGAATGATGGAAAGTTTCCATTGCTATATACACACACACGTCACCACTTTTGTCAACCCTTAAAATTTTGCTAGTGTGATGGGTGCAAAATGATATATCCCTAATATTTTAATTTGTATTGTCTGGCCATATGGATTTCCTTAGCTATTTTTTCTTCCATTTTTCTCTTTCGGGAATTACCTATTTGTATTTTTGCACATTTTTCCTATGGTTAATTTTATATTTATTTCTTGATTTATGTGCAGTTTGTCTTGATTCTCAAAGTCCATATATTCAGAAAAACTTCCATTTGTGACTTTAACATGCTGCTAGAATTTCAGTTGTAGACTTTAGATTTGGAGTAATTGAACCTTCTTAAGAATATTTTTCTTTCAGGCTCTTTATCTTTTTCCTGTCCCTGTTTGCCTACCATTGCTCCTTCCAATATTACTAGCACATTTCAGCTATAGGGGATTTTTTTTCCTCTTCTGTTGATGAGAGGGGGTAGTAGTGATATGGGGAGGGGGAAATGATAAATAGAAAAATAAATAAAAATTTGACAAGTTTATAAAAATGATATGACTATGTATAAAATTTGCTTGTGACCATTCTTGGTTGTTTTGTTTATTTTACTTGAAATACTTTCCAGATCTGGCATTCCACAAAGGCCAGCTATTTTGTTGTATATTGTCTCCCTTGTAGATGCTTATCATTATCTGATTTTGTGTGTGTGTGTGTGTGTGTGTGTGTGTCTGTGTCTGTAAGTGGAAAAGAGAGAGAAATTATTATCTGATTAGTTGTGTGTGTATGTGTATACAGTTTGGGGTCGGTCTTTGTCCTATCCACTGCTTATATATGAGGTCTATGCAGTGCTGTTATCCAGTGGGTTCTTGAGACAGTTCCATGTATTGATTATATCCCAAAGTAACTATTTTAACAGTTCAAAACCCTCTTCCTTTTTTTTGTGATCTTAGAACATGACCAAACACTTGGTAGTTGTGCTTCCCAGGTACAGAGGTGGCGGGGCTGGAGTAAAGGAGATGATGGAGACAGTGTTTTCCTCTTTATCTTCTGGCAGGGTGTGGTAATATTAGCAAAGGGCTTGGAGTTCCTGAACTGTTTTCCAAGTGTCACGGAGCCTTTGAGGTTAGAGAACCTTCCTCACAGAACATCCTGGCCCAGATTTCTTCAACATTCCATCCTTACTGCCTGTCCTGACTTCTGCCTTAAGCAGGATCAGTGCCAGAGGAAAAGCTCGTGACCCCGGCCATGGTCACAAAACCTTGGCTGATTTCGATCTTGCAGCATATTCTCTTGGCATGAATCTCTCAGAGAGGTGCCAGTTTAGCAGAGCTTCACTAGGAGTTCTCTTCCGAGAGTAGAATCTGATTTTTTTTTAAATTGTTTAATGTAACTCATAAAGAAACTTGAGTCTTAAGTCAGTGTGGAATGACTAATCCCTAATTTATCAAGTGCAGAAATCTTTGAGGTGAGAAATAGAAAGGTCATAAGCAATACAATTATGTTTGCTATATGACCAAAGCAGTATAAACTTTGGCAATTAATTTGGAAGTGATGATTTTAAAGTATTTTCTGTACCTTAGAGAAAACTCTAAATAAATCCCTGAATATGGTAATCCTGGGCTTTATTCTTATTTTTAAGAATTGTACAAATGATGAAGATTTTTGTTTTCCTGGGCACCATGTCATTATCACACTTAAAATATTAATAATTCCAGTAACATATATTCCATATTTTCTCAAAAAATCTTTGCTTTTGATTTCTTTGTCTCTTATTCTGTAATGTTCCACCAACACTCCCCACTCCCCACTCTTTGCTTTTTCATGCCATTGATTTATTGGAGAAGCCAGGTCATCCGCCCTGTAGGATGTCCCACTTGCTGGATTTGACTTACTGCTTCTTGTGGTGGTATTTAACTTGATCCTGTGTCCCCTGTGTCTAGGCAGCTAGAACAAAAGGCTTGATGAGCTTCAGTTCAACCTTTCCTTCCCTTTCCCCTTTTCTTTCCTTTCAGTGCTATACACCTGCTGTTGCATCACTTCTTCATACACATTCTTTCTGGTTGTCCCCATTTAGTTATGCTAAGATTTGTGTGTGGATTCTCTTGGTCCTCTGTTACTTGCTTGGTGCAGAGGTGCCCGTTAGAATCATTTCAGTGTCTTCTAAGATTCTTAAGAATCCAAGATTCTAATTTAGCAGGTCTGATGGGTTCGGGGAATAACATCTATTAAAAAACACATGGAAAAATAAAAAGCCCTCTACCTTTACTCAGATGTGGTAAGAATCATTATCTTTAATATATTTAATATATAATTAGAGTGACAAAATTTACTTTTATGCAGATGCTTTGGGAATATATGTTTTGTCAAAAAATGAAGCCTAATTAAAATTATTAACTGGAGATGTTTGAGGCTGCTGTGATGTAACAGAAAAAGTACTGACTTGGACCCAGGAGGCCAAATCACTTTTTCTCTCTGAGACACTTTTTTAATGTAGAAAATAGGAATAATAAGATATTTATTATAGGCTTATTTTAATGATTAAATGAAATGATTTATTTGGAAGCAGTCCAGCACCTGGTGCTTAGTTGAATGGAAACCTAAAAAGCATTACAATAATAGATGTTTTTCAGTCGAGGTCTTTAGAGTAAAAGCTTAAGAAAATTGAAGTAACAACCTCTCAGGTGCTTATTTTAGCTGTATCTTCATAAGCGTTTGTTTTTGAGCTTGTTTTTTGAGTGATAGGAGACTGATGATATATAGTTTTAATATATGTGTAATTAATGTGGCCTTTTGGGAAAAACAGCATGTGGAATCTTATTTTTTCCCCCCTTATTTTCAGCTCCATTTACCTCTTAATTCTCCTTTGCCTGGAAGTGAATTGACCAAGGAACCTTTTCGTTGGGATCAGAGACTCTTTGCACTAGTGTTGCGGTTGCCTGGCACCATGTCAGTAGAATCAGAACAGTTGACAGGTGTGCCTTTAGATGACTCTGCGATCACACCAATGTGTGAAGTGACAGGCGGTAAGTTTCTTTGCTGGCAGTAATTCAGTGACTTAAGGCAGAGTTTATCCGAATGTTCTAAAATGTACATTTCAAACACTTCATGTTTGTTTTTGTTCAACAAGTTAATGTTAGGAATTAGTAGACATATATGGTTTTAAAACTACATCAATGAACATCTATGATCTGATTTGAGTGGATTTAATACTATTGGATCTGAAATGAGTGGTATTTCTTTCTACCCATATAGAAAGTGCTGGTATTTGAAATTGTTAAACTTCTGCCTTATCTATAAAGATTACCAATGGTTCATGTATGCAGTAAAATTATTTTCTCTGAAAAATGAACAGAATTTTGAAAATCATCCCATTAACTGTGTAATGATTAATTCCTTGGTTAAGCACAATTTTCCCTAGAGGCAAAAAGGAAGCTAGAATAGTAGGTTAGAGGAACAGGTAGTGAGGTCTTATCCAGCTAGTTCAGGTAGTCACTATGTTAAGTGAACAATAAGGATACTCTTGAAAGAGAATATATAAATAGACTCAGAACTTCTGTAATGTAGAATTGGTCAGCAGATGGTTAAATTCATACGGATATGTATTGTCTACTGTGTACCAAGCACTGTTCCATGCTTTAAGACTGCAGTAGTGAATATGACAGGCAATGGTATTCTTGCTTTCATGGAGCATTTTAGTTTTTACCTAAGGAATTTACTTTAGTACTCACCTAAGACTCTACTAAAATGTCCAAATCTGGCATACCACTATTTCACTTGTGTCAGGGGCCCATGGCCTTAGTGTCTAGACACAGTCTCTATTGAGACTCCATGATAGCCAGCCGTGTAACTTAAAGGAAAATCTAAGGTTTAATTAAATTTCAGGTGCCTTTCTTCTAAAATTCTCAGAAAGGGTACCCTACACAGGTATGTGAAGTAACTAAGTTAGGAAGTTATTTTTCACATTATTAAATGTTCCTATTTATAGAAGTACTTTCTGGTGAACTCTTGTAATTCCTTCACAGTTTAATTTATTAAAAAAAGGTATATACATACATTTTTAAGGGGAAAAGCTATCTATCTAAATTTGAAAATTCACTGTTAACAATTCCTTGTGCATGGATGATATTTTTCAATGACAGTCCTCATTGTTTCTGTGGGTAGATTGACATTTGTATTCAGAAAATTTTAGTTTTCAGCCTTGGACTGGCCCACTTGCTTAAATTCTGATTTTTTTTTTTTTTTTTTAGCTCTAGGGTTTTTAATTAACAGATTGAAGGCCTTGAAGTTGTAATTTATTTACGCTCTTGCCTTGGAAATTTTTTATTATACATTACTTAGTTTGAACTCAGAATTTTATTATACATTACTTTGAACTCAGGATTGATAAAGTTATGGGACTATATGTACTATAACTTTTGTCTTCTAGGATCAGGAATATTCAGAGTGTGAAATGAAGTGAGTGGTATAATCAGAGAGTTGCAGTGAACCTGAGACATCATGTAGTGGTTAATATCCTTGCCTTTAGGCAGTAATGTACTAAAGCTATTTTGTTTATTCTTGGAAAGGAACATCTCCAGAGGAGAAGATTCTGAAGTCACCCTTGGTAATATCTTTCAATGACCCAGAAACTTTGGTCAAGAAATTAGGAAGCTCCCTCAGTACACATCCTGAATCTCTCCTGATGTAGTGGCTTATTTGCCTCTTTTCTTGCTCTTGCTATCGGAATAATGAGAAGCTATTCAAATGCCACTCACCTTTTCATAGATCTGAATAATATGTGTTCTTTTTTATTATTTTAAAAGAGTGTTTACTAAAGAAAGTTTTGAGGATAAAACACTAGAAAAATAGAACAGAAAAGCTAATATCCATTGGTATTGCACTATCCAAATATGTAATCACTACTAACAATTCATGTGCATTTTTTAACTTAATGATAAGAGTAGTGTGTGTACATTTATTTTTCCCATTATAGAATAATTCATGTTCACTAAGGAAAAGTTGGAAAAAAATGTGCCTGTGTTGCCAAAATCATTAATATGTTTTCTATATATACTCTAAAAAAGTTGTATAATTGTAATTGTAAGCATTTTTCTTTCATCATCAGGTAATTAATGAGTATCCACTCTATGTAACTGTTTTTGATGCTGGGAATGTAGCAGGAACAATAAACAAAGGTTACTTTTTGGACTTTGTGACAGATAAAATCATAAAATGAATAAATAATAGTATTTTAGAGAGTGCTACTTACTGTGAAGAAGTAGGGTAAGGGTGTAGAGAGTAACCTGAGGCAGAGAATGAATGTTCTTGGAAGGTCTTTCAGGAGGTGACTTTTTTTTTTTAAACCATAAACCTAAAAGATATGCTTATACTAGTTTGATTCAATTTAATATATTCCTTATCTTTGGAGATTATTATATTTGTTTAAATAAATAAAACATTTATTCTTTTATAAATTACACATCTCTAATCTTGAAGTTAAAGCCACTTGTTTTACTAGGGATTAATCATACTTAGTTGTGTCTTAAAAATATTAATCCCTCTAAAATTGTTGTTACATCGTGTTTACTGAGTCTTTATTGTGGTGGAACTGACCTAAAGCATATTACTTGCAGGTGTATAGCATAATGATTTGACATTTGTATATACTGTGAAGTGATCACCACAGTAAGTCTACTTAACATACAAGCAGAGATCTGAATAATGGAGTAAACCATACAAAGATCTACGCAAAGAAAATAATAAGGGAAGGAACACACTCTATATTTTTGTGAGTGACAGGAATGCTGATATGGCTGGAGCTTACATAAGGGAGGAGTAAAGGGTAATAGGTGGGTTTAGAGTGGTAGGCAAAGGTCAAATACTGAATAGCCTTTTAGGCTATAGTAAATATTTTTTATTTCCCAAGTGTGATGAGAAGCCATTGGAGGGCTTTTTATAGGAGGTGACATCTGATTTCTTTTTCTGAAAGATCACTTCAGGTGCTAGATGAGAATATACTGTAAAGTAGCAAGAATAGAGGCCAAAAGGCTAGTAAGCGATGATAGCACTTTGATTTTAAGTGTTGGATTTGGGGGTGGTGAGAGGTGGTCTGATCAAGGGAGAACTAAGGATGAGGGCAGTGAGAGCAGAATGAATCAAGGATGATTTTTAGATGACTCACTTGGCCTGAATAACTGAAGGTGAATAGCTGTGACATGGACTGAGATGGGGACACTGGGGAGAGGCACGTTTGGAGGAGGTGCAGGGATAGCAAAGCAAAAAATGCCTAATGGATATGATGGTGGAAGTCTTGAAGATAGAAAGCATTTTATAAGAATTGTAAGACATCTAGAGTAAATAAATTTAACTTTCTTAGCCTCTGTAAGGATTGTTGCCCAACTTATTAGAAATGTTCTTTTTGCCTCTTCGCCGTTTTACTAAAATGTTGGTGTAGTAGACTTCTGTGGGAATTTTTTTTTTTTTCCACTTCTGCCTTTAGAGTCACTATATTTAGTTTGATTTTTTTTGTGGACTCTGCATAACAGTAAGTGAGCCAGCTTCTTGACTTGAAGGTGTGTGCTTGTAAGCAGTGATCGTAGAGACTGTGCTTCAATACAAAGAGTCGGACATTATAAGGAATGAGTTTTGATCTAGAGGATAAAAGAAATATTACATAGGATATAGGCTCACTTTGTAAAAATGGCAAAATTTGCTATTTCCTCTTTAATTTTCAAAAGAATTAATTTTTATTATTTGCCAAGTGGCTCAAGTTTATTTTTTCTTTAATTTTCATAAAGCATCTTTGTAATTCTTTTTTATACTAAGATTATAACTCCTATGCTCATATTTTCTTAATCAATTAATTGATGATGACACAGGTTAGAGGAGCAGAGAGAATTGCTACAATTTTACACTTTTAAATTTTTGTTTTTTAATGACTTCTTAGGAATATGCTTAAATTTCAAGAAATAAGATAATTCAACCTTTATATAATCTTCTAAACTTTGTGTATTGAGATGATCAATCTTTATATGTATTGCTTTATGTATATGTTTTGACTCAGAAAAAAATATTTTAATTTACCAATTCTTTCAAGTAAGTGGGATTCCATATAGGCATTCTGTTTTAAATTAACATCAGATTAACATTCTGATTTCAAATTAACATCATGATTTCCAGGGAACAAAGTATACCCAGATTAAAGTTTCTAATACCCAGTAAAGGTTTGAGTCTTGGGTGTACTACTGTATTAACTTGGATAGATTAACCTATCCATGCTTTAGGTTTCTCATTTATAACATGGAGAAAGTAACCCATACTTGTTGCTAGGATTGAATAAATTAAATAAACTAATATGATAAAGTAATTAGAATAGTGCCAGGCACGTAGACACTTAGTAATTGGTAGGTATTTTTATGATTATGACTACTATTATTGTATACAGGTAAGTTGTTTGTTATTTGATACTTGTTTTTCTAAGTATAGCTGACGCTGACGATTTGAATCATACCACTGCCTAATGTTTTCTTTTCTGAGTAGCCTTTAACAAATCACATGTCGGGTATAAACTGATATGAGTAATTTGATATATCAAATATAATGATATAGCTGTGTTTGGAAATAACTGGTGGAATTGGAAAAAAAGTGTAGGACTTTTCCATATTGAGCTTATTGCAAATAACATTGTAAGATGTTTGAGCAGACTGTTTTAGTTGTGAAGGTTCTCAGCATTGGTTTGGACCAGTGCCTATGATAGAAATATGATACAAATTGCATATGTAATTATAAATATCATAGTAATCACATTAAAAAGGTGAAATTAACTTCAATATCTTTTGTTTAAGTCAATAAGTACAAAATATTTCAACATGAAACTGATACTTAAAAATTATTGAAATAGTTTACATTTTTTTGTATTAACGTTAGAAAATCAGTTATATATTTTATAGTTACACATCTCAGTTTGGATTAGCCATATTTCAAGTTCTTAATAGCCATATGTGGCCAGTGATTACAGTATGGGACAGTGCAGGTCTAGATACATTTATGGAAAATCCCTGTTAAAGAGATCTTTTCACTAGTATGTTTTTTTAACCACTAGCATTTTAATGCTCTGTACTAAAAATCCTATAGGTTAAAATATACAAAAGGAAAATTCATTTAAGATAGGTTAATTCCCAGGTATGCAAGCCAAAGGAAATTCAGGAAAGGCACATGCTACCATCTATGTTAAAGTGCAAATATGTCAAATATGCAGTAAGTTCCAGTAGGCCGATTAATTATCTGCCATGTGCTTTAGCATTACTCTTAGTGATAATACTTTTGTTATGTAGGAGTAAGATTTTGAAGGTTAGTTATTAGATGTTATGTATGTGTATTAAAGATAAACTATATTGGGTAATAGTTGGAGATAATTTTATATATATATTTTAAGTTATATTTTGCATAATATACATATATAATATACATATATAAATATATATGTAATGTGAGTTTTTTTTCATTGTTCAGACCAAATTTCTGTTTTCTGTATATCTACATTTAGAAGAAAAAAATGTACATACTGTCAAAAATGGAATTGTTGGTTGATTGAAAATAACTATTTTTGTTTATTTTTCCATAAGATAATGAAATAAGGCCAAATTTTGCCATTGAACTTTTGTTAATAGTGTCAGAAACCCAACTATGGTTCTGTCTTGCTAAAGGTAGAAATTTCTGCAACTAACTTTATTCTTTTTGTCTCAGGCCGCTCATACTCTGTATGTTCTCCAAGAATGCTTAATCAGTGTCTGGAGTCCTTGGTGCAGAAAGTGCAAAGTGGGGTGGTAATAAACTTTGAAAAAGCAGGACCAGATCCTTCACCTGTAGAAGGTATTATTGCACTTTTCTTATAGACATTCTAAACTTTAACATTGAACTAGAACTGAAAAATTACTATGATTTGGCTTTAAGATTGACAAGGCCAAATTATTAAGATGACAAAATGGCTATTGATAAAGAGGGAAGATTAAACAGGAAAGTGGAGATAAACTGATAGTGGTTCACTAGCATCACTTTTTTATATTGATTGTCATAGCCTGAAATTTTATAGGAGCCAAAGACCTTATTAGGCATTTACAGATCAGCAGCCTCATATTTCCTTTTTAGTAAGGCCACTTTGCCTCTCTCCAGCATATATGCCTATCATGTGTCCCTTAATTCACAAGAGTGTTCAATCTTAGGTGTTTAATCCCTTAGCTACATTTTTTCTAAGTATCAAACTGGTCAGAAACAAATGGTTTGTGTGGTTACAAAAATGAGGAACCAGCCTTTGCCATTAAGTTGGATTCTGTTAATTCATAGTTAAGTCCCACCTGACTTTATTTTATTTTATTTTATTATTTTTTAAAGATTTTATTTATTTATTTGACAGAGAGAGACACAGTGAGAGAGGGAA